TATGATATGTAGTAGCATATGACTCCTTAGGATTCATATGAGATTAATCCTCTGGGGGGGTTCACTATCACCAATGGAGCATAAACATTAGCAACGTGTTTCAGTGGTCGAAGCCCGTTTACTTGCCTTCATAATCCGGCCGCCTTATCGGGTCAGGGAAGAGGACCGGCTATTTATAATTTAAAGGATCATCTCAATACACAGGTTCTGGAGAAACATTATCTTCCATGGTATCTCGAAGTTTCGAACACGATACATCTTTTATATCTGTCAAAAACAAGAGAAAATTGATTTTCATAGAAATTAATTAAGATCCTTTAAGTTTGATTCAAACAAAAAGATAGTGATGAGTTCAACGTCAAGGTTACTTTAATGAAATTTCAACATTTAGATCTCACTATAAATGAAGATTGGTCCAATATCATTATAGGAATGAAAGAGAGTTACATTTTGAAAGACATTCAAATATCCAAAGCTAATTGGCACGGGGAAAAAAAGATTGATGATATAATATTGCCCCCAAAATAGAAATCGTTGAACTAGGAATTTGTAGGGTGCACTAGCAGGCCCTTGCTATAGTGCAAAACATTAACTGCGTTAATGCGATTTTAGAGCCTGGTATATATATAAAAATGAAAATCTCAATTATTAATCTTATATTATAAAATATTTTTTAAAAATGCGTGTGAAAAAATGAAATGGCTTATGTTTTGAAACACGGGAAGTATTTGATTAGAGACGGTCATAAATTATTAAAGGATAGTGAAGTCTTGAGGATTAAACGGCCATACATGTTTGTAATTGTTACAAATACCAAAAATAAAAAATAAAAAATAAAAAATAAGTTCCGTTTATGTTTTAACAAGAATGAAGAGCTTGTTAGGCCGGTTTTTAATTGTACAATGATATAATGATTAATTTTTATTTTTTTGGACATAATGAATATTAAATTGATATGTATTTGATGGAATGAATTTGTATTAACTTGTTTCATTACTGTAGAATCCAGAGTTGGTTTTTTGCAGACTATATTTGAATTCTATTACCAACAAAAGAAATCTCTGGAAAATCTTCCTTATTTTCCTACGCAAATGAAATTTCCTTGTGCCATTTGCATCCAGCAATTTTAATTTTTAACATGTCATGACTACATGTTCTTTGAAGCATCTTCCTTCGTTTAGTAGAGTGTTCGCCGCTCAACCTGGGAAACTCGGCGAACCTTCTCGTTCATCCTTATTTCTTGACGTTAAGCTAGCTATGAAACTCCAAAAGGAAACACCTTTGATGTTCGAGGCAAGACTGAACCTAATAAGGTGCTTACCAGTTACTACATAAATCAGAGTCTTTTAAAGAAGTAATCTATGCTCATTCCAAGGAGGACGGGACTAGATTATAGCCATTGCAGGGCAAAAAAGAAATCAACAAGGCATCTATTGATCCACAGCGAATTGGAAAACCAATCAAGCACCGAGCTAGATTATTTTCTTCCCAGCGGCTGAACCACTGCATTATTGCTTCTGAGGGGATGCGAAGCTTCTGTGCTCTCAATTGCGCTTCTGATAGTCCCCTCGTACATTGCTTATCCATTGTTTGGATTGAATGTAGTAAAGTCAGAGAGTTTTGTACTCTCGAGCCCTATTTACATGCTGCTGTTAACCGATGTCACAATTGTACACGAATGTATGTTGACAAGCAGGGGATCTTTGAGGAGGTTGAGGAAGAGAAAGTAGTGCAGAATGATGGAGAGAACTTGACAGAATCAGTTAAGCTCACGGAGGGAGGTTTGGTCTTCTACCAGACAATCCGAATACTTTTCATAGATTTCAGTATCTTTTCAGTTGTGGTGATTGACTTTCTTTATTCTTGACTGAATCTTGCCAAATGAACACCAATTTTCGACTCTTTGGCTAGATCTAATCTTGGACTGATCATGGCCATTTTTGTTGAGATATTATTACCTTTTTCTTCAGTTCTAAAATTTCATTCATTTTTTAGACACTACCTGAGGGACGTGTCTTTATTTACTTCTATTTCCTTCTAATAATCCCATTTTGTTATCAGTGAGAATAAAGAAGCCTTGTTTCATATCGGAAGGGAGCATTCAAATTAGCTCTTCTGCTCTCCAGATGCATTTATAAATTGAATAATGTATCCATCATCCCTATGTCACGAACAATTACAAAGCATCTTTTCCCTTTTTGGTGCTACTTCAAACTTAAGGAGAACAAAAGCTTCTTTCATTTGTTACCAAGAATTGCACGGTCAATTAGGCATAACATATTTACAACTTTTTTTCTTAATTGTCAAAGTAAGTTAATGCTTAGCTACTACGAAGATTTGAAATCCTGAGCTATTAGATCTCATAATCAAGTTTTTGCTGGATACCAACACGGAGAAGTTCTTGTTACTTTATAAATCGACTACTTGTTTTCTATCATAAACCCCAAATACAAATTTACAATTAGATTATTTTCTTGCATAGAGTTTTGGTAATAAATGACTATTCACATTTATTAGGTCTATGGCGCACATGGTAGAACTGATATAATGACAAATGTACAACAGAGTGGGCAGAGAGGGTTTTAATGTGATATCTTTACTTTAGATCTTAGTACTGCATTCAGCTTTTTTGTCCGCTTCACATATGAAGATGCTATTTCTTGGAAAATATGCTTGTTTTTACAGTGTGGGAGGGAAGACAGTAAGCCCCTCAATTGCATGCAAACTACTGAGACTGGTAGCACATCTTTTTGCGCAGAGTGTGGTTCATGAGTAATGTTTCTAGGTGGGAACGGGGTGGTGGTTTATTTACGTTGGCCAGCTCCACGTCTGGTACTTGGATTTAATGCATTGGGGGATCACTTCTGGTGTTCTGGACCACACTATTCCCCAAAGCCCTGACTCTCTTGCTAGCTTGAGTACAAACAATATTACTCAACACAACAACCCCTTACTCAAATTCCCAACTACCATTTGAAGATTCTTTAGGGACATTAAAAAACAGCAGAGAGATATTTTCTTTTCATTCTGCAGGACCGATAAAAAAACATATTGGTCCGGACCGGAAATAATCAAAATACACTTTTAATCATCCTTTGAAACTGATTAAGGTGTAGTGGGTACGTACCTTAGTCATTTTAAATCCAAATGGACAATTTGTTCGAGTTTGGATAGAAAAGAACATTGCTCAAACCGGTAACATGCTGAAACAACTTTACAAAAGGAATGGCTTAGGAAAATTGTGACTAGCTAGATGTATAAATAATCCAATACCCCTACCTGGTTTTGATGGCGTAAATAGTGGAAGGAATTGACTAAGCAGTAGGTTAGGTTGGACAATAATTCAACAAGGCAGTCCATATGATGCGGTTGGCTAATTTAAGGGCTCATGATCCTATATTCCCTATTTGATGTGTGGGCTCCAGCCTCCATCATGAGGAACTGTCATAACTGTACTGGAGTAACGTAGTTAGGAAGCTTATAAATGCATCAGCTAATTGACAAGAAGCAAACGCAAACACTGTTGCAATCTGGTCTGTTTTCATTTTGGCTTGGGAAAAATACAATATAGAAGTCTGTTAATCACTATAATAGCCAGGCTCAAGGGACTCAGAAGTTGATTAATTTTATTATAAAGGGTTACTTTTTGGCTTATAAGTTGAACTTTAAACTCTTTTCAGAAATTCAAACTTGTGAAATCTAAATACTCTTTGACTTTCCTTGTATACCAGGAAATAAAAAAAGAAAAAAAATAGGGACTTAATTTTATTTTTTAAATCTTAGAATCATATCTTAAGGTAAGACCCAATATCTTCTTAAAAGGATCTTTGGTGATACAGCTGGGTCCTTGTGCAAGAAGATATGGTTGCCTCCTGGCTTCTTATGTGCTAAGAACCCCACATATCACAAGGGCCTTCGAAAGAAACTTTGGCTTCAAAGAGGGAAATTTTGGAAATTGTAATAGCTGTGTGAAAAGGACTTGATATTGACACTTTTTTCAAATGCAAACAAACTGTTTCTCCACTTAGTAGGGCTCAAACCCAAGTCAATCGAAACTAAAATTAATGTTCTGATAAATTATAGCAACATTGGAGAAAAAAGTAGTGGCAATTAATGTATTTGCAACTTTGCACTGCTAAGTCAACATTGATAACACAGTTTTCGTGGTGAATGAGGTCTTAGTCTGTAAATAAAATTCCAATTTCAAATCTTCCCAATCCCCACCCTCCAAAATGCAAAAACACCGCTACCTAGAAGCTTCTAATATCTAACACTCTAATGGCTACAAAAAAATTCTTGCTATTTATTATTATTTGGTATAGTTGGAATCAAATTATAGCCTAAAGCTTTGACCTGATCCAGCAAAATGATTTCCTAAAGATACCACTTAAGAGATGACAGTTGCACTTCCTATTAATTGCAGTAGGTCTTGAATTTAGTATAATTTGTCTGCTTAATTCCTTTGTTATTCTAGTTTTTCAACATAACAGATAAAAAGGCTTTTATGAACATAATTTATGAGGTGAACTCTCCCTATCCGTTATTATTATTAATATTATTTTCACTTGATGATATATATAATCTATACAATAAAAGAAATTTCTTCTCTTTTTAAAAATCCTTTCTCATCCATCTTAACATCCAACCTTGAGACCTACAATTTGAAGTCTCGATCATGTGCTCCACACCTTTAAAGGGTTTTTAAGTTGGTAAATCTTTGAGGAAAAATCTAAGATAGAAAAACATTATGATGTTTCCTACTTTGGTCCCAGAAACTTATTTCATAAGAATAAGAAAAAAAGATTGCCAGTAATTCATGATTAACAGCCTTTATACTCAAGCATTCCTTTTTTATTTTGCCAAATTGAAGCATTCTTTCAAAACACAAAAATTGTAGTCACATCAAAGTAATAAAAAAATCACCTACTATATCCTCTGCTATCAAAATCTAAAAAAAGTTAAAGAAAATAATGATCATCATCCAAGAGAATATATACAAAGAAAAGAAGAAATTTTTATTAGAATGATAAAATATGGAAACTACATTAATATAACAGCTGATTCATTCACAACAAAAAGAAACCAATTTGTTGCTGAATTTTTGGCTTCAAACTTTCAATCCACCCTTTTCAAAAATCCTAGAAGGAACAGCAAACCTAGCTGAGAAGGACCTGGAAATGTCTTCAGGATCTGACATCAAGCCTTGATCGAAATTCTTGGCATAGGTGTAAGGATCATAAGAAACGTTCAGTGCTTCATTGCTTGAAGAACAAATAAAGATTTTCTTCTTCTCCCTCTTAAGCCTTCTCCACAGAATTGTCCACCATGGCAGCTTTGATCTGCTCACCACCAGGGTGTTTATGGAAACAATCTGGTCGTAGCAGCGGCCAGTTGAAGGTTCTCCACAGCATTTGCTCCACCGGAAACTATGACTGTCTGAACTGCACCAGTATTTGTCCAGTTCCATGGTGGAAAAAAAAGAAAGACTGGAATTTTTTTTTCTTTTGATTCTAGATCTTCAGCAGAAATTATAATTGCTAGATGCATATGGTCAGGGCTATTTATATGAACAGAAGAGTTAAAGTTCAAAGTCAAATACCCTGATGCCTAGGGATTAGCATGATTTAGAAACGTTAATGCCAGAGACAAATCGCACGAAACATACGCTACAAAAACTCATGTGAAAATGGTTTTATCGGCTTTTTACAGTTACCACTCATTTTTGACAAAGTACGATCGATATTGTGACTTATGAATTTTCTAGTCTCTATGCATATAAATAATTTTTTTTATTAGATTGGAGAGATGAATTAGTATGTTGAAAATTACTAGGAAACTGTTTGGCCTTTCTATAACTTTTGCATAGATGCTGAATTATGAATTTATATATACAGATATAAAGTAGTGATAAAAATTTTTGAGAAGTGATAATAAAAATCTACTTTATAAGTCATAGGTTTAACTTTTGAACATTTAAAAAGTGAAAATAGTTTTTAAAAAATTCAAAAGCAATTCTTAGAAAATTACTTTCCCCTAACTTAAATTTTTGCAGATTTTTTTTTTGAAAATTAGAGTAAACTAGCACTTAATTAAAATACTGTAAAATTATTAATAAGAATTTAGTTAAATTTGTACCAATTTTAAAATTTTGATTTAGGATAAAAATATAAACCCCTATAATATCAAAACAATTAACTTTTGACCTATGCACCAAAAAAAAAAAAAACTTTAAAAAATTAAAATATAGCATGATCCCCTAACAAAGGATCATTTAAAAATATTTTAAAAACTAGACCATATAATAGAAGGTGAACGTTCCTTAAGCGTATTTCAAGGAAATAATATTCCCAGAATTTGTCCGTGACATTATGTCACATGTGATGCCAAATATTTTATAAGGCACTATTTGCTTCTATCATACATACTGCTTTGTGCAGTCTTTAGGTAGCATCCAGCTGGTATGATGACTACCGGAAAAACATTTGTATTCGGCCTCCACCATGCATTTGGCAGCATCCTGCAATTTAGTCATTTCCAAAAATTGAATCGAATACTAATAAAACAAGTACAAAAGCAAATACCCTTACTAAACAGATCAAGGTGTTTTTTTTTTTTTTTTCTTAAAACAGATCAAGGTGTTTGGAAAGACCTCACTACTAGAATACACAACAAAACGAACAACATTATAACCCTTACATTTTAGTCAGTTATAGGAAATAGTCGATTATAAAAAAGAGTTCGACCACAAATTCTAGAAATTGTATAACCGAGAAAGAAAAATGCTTATTGGTTATGTTTATTCCATTAATTTATCAGTTAAATTGATGAATTAAAAAATTTTTTAAAAAAATGGTTATAATCAACACAAATAGGTTGTTGGTTATATAATTAATCTTTTAATAATATAAATTAAAAATTATTAAAATTATATTTATATATAATCAACAAATATTTTGTTTGTTTTGTATAATCAACAAAAGTGTTTTTATAATCAACATCTAAAATCATAGATTATACTAGGGTTTAAGGTTTGTTAAGTGTTGTATGGGTTAGGGTTGGTTTTATATGTGTACATTTGGTTTAGGCTATGAAGGTTTGGGGCATGGAAAATTATAGTTGGTTTAATAT